ATACGGGGCACCATTTGATGAATGGGGGGTTTAAATGCCCATTCATCCGGCCCAGAGCGCATTTTGCGTGGGAAAAGAGACACGTACACGCGGTTACATGTCCGGCAAAATGGCCCATTCCTTTATTCCACTGGTGCTTTTATAGGGAGGGTATAGAAGGTTCTGGGACAAAGGTAGGTTTGGTTTGAACCCTCGAATCTGAGGGCTTCTGATAAGGGGGATTGAAGACATTGGTTAGGGGGATATGTTTATTCATTCAGGGGGAAGGGATTGCCAGGGGAGGAAGGGAAGGTGTGGTCTTTGAGGGCCCAGGAGAGGGAAGTCCTGCAGAGGTCTGTAAGGCTGGGGCTGCTCTGGCCCCTGCAGCCGGCCCCCAGGCAGTTCTGGGCAGCTGTTGTTGCTAGAAGCTTGATTCTCTGCAGGCTCTGGCAGTTCCACTTCCCACAGCAGTATACAGAGCTTCATATCCTCTGTATCCCTGACTCCAAAAGCCTAGAGGTTGACCTCAAGTCTCCCATGGTGCTTTCTGCCAGAGGCTCCAGATATGGCCATTCTCCCCAGTTGCGCTGTAGAGCACATTTTATACATCTTGCCCTGTCTGGACTGTCCCAAGGGCTACAGCATGAACTATTTCCTGTTTCATTTGTTCAAAGTCTTGTTGTTGCTCAGGGCCCTATTTGAAATCATTCTTCTTCCAGGTCACTTGATAGCAAGGGCTGACAATCAGACTAATTTGGAATGTGCATTCTCCAAAATCCTACACCACCTAACAAAACTTGGTTTTTTTCTTACTAGTTGTTGGAGACATTGCTACTGGTAACGTTCATCTTGCCATTTTATTCATAAAAAAGGGATCTCCTGTACAGGACCCTTGACCTTTGTTTTATAGTAGAACCATCTTTCAGAAGGATTTGGACTATTTTCCTCCCTCTCTCAAAAACTTCCTCTGCTGTATTGCCCCACATGATGATGCCATCAATGTATTGCAGGTATTCTGGAGCTTCACCCTGCTCCAGTGCAGTCTGGATCAGTCCATGGCAGATGATAGGGCTGTGTTTCCACCTCTGGGGCAGTCAATTCCAGGTATACTGGACACCCCTCCAAGTGAAAGCAAACTGTGGCCTGCACTCTGCCACCAAAGGTATTGATAGAAATGCATCAGCGATATCAGTAGTGGCACCACTGGGCTGCCTTTGACTCCAGTTTCATATTGAAGTTCCAGCACTCTATTCCAGCTGAAACCAGAACACTTTTATGACAGATTTATTTACCACTGTTAATTAATCAACTAAAGAAGAAAACAACAGAACAGCACTACATCCATAAAGAATTAATGAATAAAATAAAATAACCTTGAAAAATTGAAATCCATTTTTCATAAAATCGTGGAATCATTTAGGTTGGAAAAGACCTTTAACATCGAGTCCAATCGTTAACCCAGCACTGCCAAGCCCACTACTAAACCACTTCCCCAAGTACCACATCTACATGTCTTTTAAATCCCTCCAGGGATGGTGACTCCACCACTGCCCTGGACAGCCTGTTCTAGGGTTTGACAACACTTTCAGGCAAGTCTTTCTATCCCAAAGAAACTCCTCCCAATACTGAGAGACTTTGCCTAAATGAGGATTTGAGGACTCTTGTCTCATTACAATATTTTACAGTAAAACATCTGAAACACTACTCTTTTTTGAGTTTTTTCACTGTTCTTTATAGCAAATTGTCTGATACAATCACTGCAATTTTTCATATATTAATCAAGAAGACATCAAGGGAGCTAAGAAATATTATTTAAATAATAAAATGCTTTTATTATTTGTTTTATAATGCTTGAAAGATGTTCAGTCTAAATAGGGAAAGTAATTTTTTTGTCTCGGTTGGGAAAATGGTAGTTTTGAATGGTTCAGAACTTATCTTGGTTGTTGGTCAGCTTTACTTAGGTTTACTACTCACTGCACCAAAAACTCACTGCATCTAAACCCAAAAATCACTGTGCCGAATATTTTATCTTAGTATAAACTTGTGAGACTTGTATCAGACTCTAAGATCTCACAAAACACCACAAAATTGTAATGTGGCATTACAAAATTGTATGTCATGTTGAAAAATTGGAAGCAGCAGTTGCAAAACTGTTTTGATTTATTGTAAAAATAAACAATGCAAACAACATTGTGTTCATATTAGCAGATGTTTCCATATGTAATTGAATAATGCTGTTTTGTTTTAGTTTACTTGCTGATTTTGTGCTGTCTAGTGCCTTCAGTGCAATACTCATACAACATAATGAGTTCATTTTCAGAGAACTTGTCTATTTAATTATAGTGAAAGGCTCTGCTGCTGCTGTACTGGTGATCATGATCTAAATTATATGTAAAAGGGAAAATAAAAATAAGTGGAGGCCTTGCAGAGGTCTAAAAAGTGGTAAAGGAAGATATAAATGTTTCTCAATTATATGTTAATTTTCCATTTTTCATCTATCCCCAAAAACATTACACAGCTTTTTCCATTTGTATTCAAGACCCTTGAAGTTATTGTCAGGTTCTAATTGAACTAGTATATTCTGAGAAGTGGTTTCGGTGCTGATCCAAGATTTGCTATTTGCATGTGGATATCAGTCTTAACCTGTTCAGATTTTTGGTACAGGAAATTATTTCTGTAATGTCTCTACATAGAAGTAGTGTTGTAATTTTGTTACCTGGTTTTCTGAGCTGTGATAAAAGCAAAAGTAGTTAAAAACCCCATTAATTTAGAAGCTGACAGTGTCCTCCCATAATCCTTTTACTATTAAGGAGACAATGTAACTCTACGTTTTCAAGGGTGACCAAACTAAAAATCATTACAGTATATTAAAATATCTTAATTAAGCTTGTTACCATATCAGTAATTCAACATACACATTTGTGCTGGTTTTAGTTTGTAATGTCACTTGTTGAAACTCTGTTGCACCTCTTCCTGTCTAATCTGCTTTTCTCCTTATGTAAGTATAGTAGTAATGTACAAACAAATGAAAAAATTCAAGGAATGCATTGCTATGCTCACCTATAAGTATTGAGTCTTTTTTTATCAATTGCATGTGAAATTCACATTCAATAAGCTTTGGACTTTCTGTTCATCTGACCTGTGTTCATTCTATAACATTCAGCTGATGATTTTTAAAATAATCAGTTAAAGCCAGCTTGCCCTTGTGTTTGTTCTGTTGTGTATCATGTCAGTTTTATTTTGAGCCTGTTTAGTTGTTTTATGCTGTTTCCCAGTTGCAATGCTTTCTTAGATTATCATCCCACAGTTTCTAACTTGGCTTTTGAAAGAAACTGTTTCTAGGAAATTTCAATAGGCCACAAGGATATGGATGCAGCTTGAGAATTAACTGAATTACCGTAGAACTATTCATGCAACACAAAAGCCATTCCATCTGTTAGTCTTGCTAAAAGCAAAGCTATAATATGAAAATATTTTGATGTACAGTTGTTTGAAGAAGTTCTGTGTGTAAATATGTTAAAGCTGTACCAAGGAAGCCCTGAATCTGAAGAGGTGCCTGTACACAAAGACAAAGCCAGAAACTGTAATTAATGATCAAAATATGACAACAACAGCAAAACAAATTTAAATTTGAACTTTCTGTAAGAAGTAATTTATTAGCTGATGTTAGAGCTCTGAGTGGGCAGAAGTGATGTTTAGATTAGTGTGATCTTGGTTTGCACTACTGTACTTAGTTGCTTCTGTAACTTCTATAGTAATTTTTCAATATTTACTTCTGTACAGTATTTCTCTCTGGAACTCTCCAACCAATTCAAATATTAGTTTAGCCCCATACCCTTTGTGTGAGTGAAAGGGGAGGGAGATGTTATCCCTGTTCTTCACATGAAGAATGTTTTAAAACAGGGAATGACTTACATTTTCAAGTTTTTCCCAATATTGAGTACATCAATACAGAGCTATACGTACTAGGTTTGTGACCTGTGGAAGCTTTCAGAAAGTTTGGGCACCAGTGTTTTCTTCTAAAGAAAGTCAGTGGTAGAGCCAGAATCAAAGCTACTGCTTTTAACTGATAGAGTTAATGTGAGTCACTGTCCACACTTCTGCTGACAGAGGCTGTAGATCATTCAAGCTTTTGCAGATCATAATCAGAAATAGTTGTTAGTCTGGAGATTAAACATCAACAATTAATTTTTTGTTGTTGTTGAATACAATATTGTGACGGTTTGGACCTGGCTCCCTGCCAAATGCCTGAAAGTTACGACAGTAGTTCTTTTTCTTCCTCCTTTCTTTCCTTAGGTTAAAGGAAAAGAAACTATAAAAATTAAAGAATCCAAAGTCAAGTTGCTTATGTAAAAATATATTTATATTTACGTAAATTACAGTTATGTACAGTTAAGATGCTATATACACAGTAAAAGGGGGTCCACCCCCCGAAGGGATAGGGAAAGGGAAAAAAAGGGGACAAAAGGGAACAAAAGGGACACTGAACAGGTATACTAGATCAAACTCAAGAACTATACTGATAACTAACAAAACAGATTTTACCACGTCCCTTAGAACAGCAGGATCGGCAGTCACGGCCAGTACTTTCCAAACTTCCACGTGGCAGGACGGTGGACTCTGCAGGCCTCAACCTTAGATAAGCGAGACCAGCGCAGGGACCCACTGTTCTCAAACCTCGCCGGAAGAGAAGAGAGCGAGGTTTCTAATCTCCGACTTATTTATACTCTGGTTTACGTAAAAATTGTATGGAATACTGGGTACTTGGCTATTTCCTTGGTTACAAACTGGTCACTAGGAAGGCCTAGACTAAAACCATCACAAATATATATAAACATTTTGGATGAGATTCAGAAAGTTTTTAGGCTTCTAAGTCCATTTTAAGTTCCTACCTCTCTACTGAGCTTAATGAGAGATGAAAGCCTAACACTACTTGAATTCAAGCTTACATAACTTCAGCAACTTAAGTAAGGCATATATTTTTTAATTTTGAATTCAATTTGTATTATGTATTTTTCTTAAATGTATTGTATAAATATGAGGTTTTATTCTGATTCTATGAAATATAAACCTGTTTGTTCTTTCAGGAGTGCATTAGAGCCTTAGGCCGAAATAAACCTCATACACCATTCAGAGCAAGTAAACTTACTCAGGTGCTAAGAGATTCATTCATAGGAGAAAACTCCCGTACCTGTATGGTAAGTTTGTTTAGTTAACTGTATGTTTTAACAATAATTTAACTGAGACTATAATTGGAGTGAGTCTTTCAACAGTCATTTCAGATAACTTGCTCCCTTCTCATTTTTTGTTGACCTTTCTTATTGCTTGTTCTAGTTTTCTAACTAGACACATAGCTAGAAGCACTTTAGCTTGAGTCTTTTTTTGTTTGATTGTTTTTAATAATGTCTTAATTATATGAGAATATTGCTTGTTGAATCAAAATTGTTGAAATAATTGTGTAGACTGGAAGTGTAGAGGTCAGTTATCTTTAAATAAATTTACAATTGGTATCAAAGGCATCAGAATATGCTCTAGGTTGTTAAGGGGAGAAGTATTTGGAATTGATGGGATAAATAGTTGTGTACTATATAAATGTGCATTTGCATGAATATGAAAAAACAGAATTCTTCTGTCAGATGGTGGAAAGAACAGACAAAAGCACAGATGTCCAGTGGTTTTATTTGTTCATCCTTGACATTTCTCCTTATGGAAATGTAAACTCTATGCAGTGAACATTGACTTAGGCTTGTTTGCTGTAGTGGGTTGACCTTGCCTGACTGCCAGGTGCCCACGGAACTGTTCTATCACTCCCCTCCTCAACAGGACAGTGGGGGGAAAATAAGATGGAAAAGAACTTGTGGGTCGAGATAAAGGCAGTTTAATAAAGCACGGTCTCAGTTTAAAATGAGACAGGTGTTTTACTGAGGATGAGTTATGAGGAAGACCGAAACTCCTCCCTCTAAGCAATTAAAAATCCAAAATTAAGAGGTTCTAATTGAGGGGGGAAAATTGTGGGAAAAGGAAAAAATAACAGCCCTTTATTTAAAGATATATGTGTATTGGTAGAAGATATATGTGTATTGGTAGAACAACAATAAAACACAAATAAAACAACCAGACAATAATCCTATACCCACAAATAATCCCCTTCAAAACATACCAATAAACAAGCAAAGAAAAAAGTAAACAGTTCAGTTTGCACCCTTTGGTGCAATTCTAATCACAGTCAACAGGGGGTGCCGTTGGATCACTGGAGATGCAGAGCTTGTAGTGTCCTGTGCCAGTCACTAGGGGGCGCTGTTGAATCACTGGAAATACAGAGCTTGCAGTTCCTTATGCTGGCCAGCAGGGGACGCTGTGGAATCACTGGTCATTGCCACATGGGGGTAACACCCTCTGGGGTGTTTTGGAGAAATTGAAAATGGATTTCCCTTCCTCCACACACACTGCGAAAGGGGAGAGAGAGGAGGGAGAGAAACAATAACAAAAAAAAGTCCTCCCAATGGGAAAAAACTCACTCTTTCTGCTGGCCAAATCGTGCAGTATAGTTTTCCTTCTCCCTTTCATATGCACAAGAACCACTGCTATGAAAGAAACAAACGGGAACAGGGAAGGGAAAAGAAAAAAAAAAAAAGAACTCCCAAAACAGTTCCTCTCTGATGAAAATTCCAAGCAGAATCCACAGCTGGCAACCAGGCTGAGAACAAAACCCCACAGAGCTTCCACTCTGGCCTTGTTCCAACTTTAGCAGCCAGCCAGAACTCCTCGCCCCATTTCCCAGGAGACAAGAGAAAAAAAGTAAGAAGCTCCTCACCCCCATTTCCCAGGAGACGAGATTCTGAGGCCATTAACTAGAAGGCAGTTCCTTTTGTGCTCCTTATCATGGCTAGGCTTCGCGAACAAAGATTTGAGAGGGGCTCTACCCACGCTTGCTACAGGCGCGCTGATGGCTAAAAAGGCCAATGCGAGATAGACAAGTCCGGTTGCAGAAGGTACAGCAGAAAGACTCCCCAGGTGATATCGACAAGACGTGATTCTTTCTGCATTGTCTTTTCTCCTCGAGAGTGATCCTGCGTGTGTTCTCAAAAGCAGCAGCAGCGTTATAGATGGTGTGTCTCCAGGCCTCCTGATTGGAGGCCAGAGTAGACCAATGGTGGTGATCAATATGGCCAAGGCTGAGGGATTGTTTCAGGCAGTCCTTGTATCTCCTCTTCGGGGCTCCTCTCTTGCGGCAGCCAGTGGCAAGTTCCCCATATAGCATGATCTTAGGGAGGTGGCAGTCCTGCATCCTGGAGATGTGCCCTGTCCAGCGCAACTGTGTTCTCAGCAGCATGACCTCAGTGCTCGTGACTGCTGCCTGTTCAAGGACAGACGTATTGGTTACATAATCAGTCCAGTGGATGTTTAGGATTGTACGGAGGCAGCGCTGATGGAAGCATTCTAAGAGACGCAAGTGGTGGAGGTAAATGACCCATGATTCAGATCCATATAAAAGAGTAGACAGTACGATGGCTCTGTAAACACTGATCTTAGTACTTTTCTTCAGGTATTTGTTTCTCCACTCTCTTTTATGGAGTTTACTAAAAGCTCTGTAAGCCTTTGCTAACCTGTTGTCTATTTCTGCATCAATCTTACTGTCTGAGGAGATGATGCTTCCCAGGTAATTAAACTGCTGGACTGATTTGAGCTCTGTTTCACCAATGGTGATATGGGGATGGTGGAAGACTTACTGAGGTGCAGGTTGATATAAAACTTCTGTCTTCTTCAAGCTGACTTCCAGCCCAAAAAGCTCAGCAACCTCTGCATAGCAGGATGTTAAACGCTGCAGAGCTACTTCTTTGTGGGCGACGAGGGCGGCATCATCAGTGTAAAGCAGCTCACAGACAAGATGATTTAAGGTCTTAGTGTAGGCCTTCAGTCGCCTTAGGTTGAATAGGGTCCCATCAGTACAATATCGGATGTAGATAGTTGTCTTCATCAAGGTCTACCGTGGCCCTTTGGAGCATCATGCTGAAGAAGATTGTGAATAAAGTTGGTGCAAGAACGCAGCCTTTCTTCACACCACTGGCTATTGGAAACGGCTGAGAAAGTGCATCGCCATATCTGACTTGGCTGCGCTGGTCCTCATGAAGCGAGATGATCATTTTGAGGAACTTGGGAGGACATCCTAAACATTCCAAAATCTGCCACAGACCTTTTCTGCTCACAGTATCGAAAGCCTTGGTGAGATCAACAAAGGTAACATAGAGTCCTTTGTTCTGTTCCCGACACTTCTCTTGCACTTGTCTGAGAACAAATACCATGCCTGTGGTACCTCTGTTGGCTCTGAAACCACATTGGCTTTCAGGTAGAAGATCTTCTGCTATGGCGGGTATCAATCTGTTCAAAAGAATTCTTGCAAGGATTTTACCAGCAATGGATACCTCGGTAATTTGAGCAGTCTGATTTATCTCCTTTCCTCTTGTACAAGGTGACGATGACAGCGTCACGAAGGTCTGAAGGCCTTAACAGAAACTTCATGACATCCAGAACAAGTGGTGGACCAATCTAGCGGAAAAAATCCAATTATGTGCAGATACAAGTGACTACAGGGGATTCTATGAGGCTCTGAAAACAGCCTGCGGTCCTACACACCAGGTTCAAAGCCCTCTACTCAGTGCAGATGGCCAAACGCTTCTCACAGATAAAGTTTCCATTTTGAATCGATGGTCTGAACACTTTCAGACTCTCTTCAGTACTAACCGTGTAGTTCAAGACTCAGCAATGCAGTACATTTCACAACAACCCATGAAAACTGAACTGGATACTGCCCCCACCATGGGAGAAACTCTTAAAGCAATACAGCAGGTGAAAACTGGCAAGGCAGCTGGGGTTGATGGAATCCCACCTGAAATCTGGAAGCATGGTGGTCAAGTACTCCATGTTAAGTTTCACAAATTTGTGGTGCGCTGTTGGGAACGAGGTGAACTGCTCCTTAACTGCCCCCTTAACATCCCTGCATGCAGTGGGCAGGGGGAAGGGAAAAATTCCTGCCTAGTTTCTAAGAACCAGCAAAACCATGACAAGCATAAGCAAAGGCCATGTGCAGAAGCAAAGGACAATCAAAATGTTTGTTTCTCTACTTCACATCAGCAGGCAATGTCTAGCCACTTGCTGGGAAGCAGGGCTTCAGCATGCGTAACGGTTTCTCTGGAAGACAGTCATAATAATGAATGCTCCCCTTCCTCCTCCTTTCTCTTAGCTTTTATTGCTGAGTATATGTCATATGGTATGGAATATCCCTTTGGTCAGTTTGGGTCAGTTGGCCTGTCTATGTTCCTTCCTAGGATTTTGCCAAGCCCCAGCCTACTGGCCTTGAGGGTGAGGGGGTGGAATGTTGGAGAAAATAGTGCTCAGCAGAGAACACACCGGTGTGTTATCAACACTTTTCTGGCTACCAATGCAAAGCACAGCACTGTGAGGGAAAATTAATTCCATCTCATCTGGTTACTTTCCACAGGTTCCTTGGAATTAGTCTAGAGGTCACAGAAATCTGTAGACCGCAATATGAAAACCGTGGTGTTAGGGTAGCCTAATAGCCAATGTATCCACACTGCTAAAGAAGTTTCGGAAAGTTAGCCTGTTGGAAATTGCTCTCTATACATAGAAGGATTAACATTTGTGAATGTTTCATGAAGTTATTACCATCACCTTTACCACTCCTAAAGTGCTAACAAGTTGTCTTCATTTTGGTGAAGCTTTTTTATGTAATTATTAGTCTTCTTATAGAGTTGATGTCACATTTTTCCTGTTTAAATGCAGAAAATCCAACTGAGAATAATTCATGATCAATGGGTGTTTAATTTCTGATAAAGCTTGCATTTCTTCCTTTTATATTCAATATAGTTCTAAATTAAGGAAAAAATCCCCTTTGAAAGTGAGTGAAAACATACTTGAATTATTTTTTATTTTTTCATTTATAGAACTGCAGTCACTTTTTAATTAAGAATAAGAAAACCCTTTCATGATGAGATACTGCTTTCAAACTCATTCTTACTGTTACTATTTCATGTAGTTTCTCAGTACTAGGACCATTTGTAACATTCAGGGTTTAGTGTTTGTTTACATGTAATTTTTATCAAGAATTTAATCAGCAATGTTTTTTCTTAAATACTGATGTAGCAAGAGTAGCACTTGGGTGGTTACGAATTACTCTGAATTAG